GCTTAACTCTTCTTCATAGGACATAAACTTCCTCTATCAGTGATCAGATTTTCTCTTGCAAATAAGCTATTGTTTAAAGAGTTTTCTGAGGGGAAAACAGTGCTGATGGATGAATTTGCAAGAAATCAAGAAAACTAGCAATGCTTTAATAAATTAATTTAGTAGGACTCTTGTAAGAGTGTCATACTACAACTACAAGGCCTTGTGCAGGTAAAGTTCTGAAGTGGATATCCTGTGAAAAATACAAATAGAATTTGTATTGTGGCCATTCTGATTGATGGGTAACTTTGACACCCAAAATCTCAGCACTGTGCTCTCTGAAGGAAGAGGAAACAGCTCTTTCATAGGCACTGATGATATTTATGCTCCAGTTAGGATTATGGTCTCTTCACCAAGGTTAATGGGGAGTGGGATGGGGAGCATCAAGGTCCAAGATCCAGTCACTTTTCATTCTGTTTCACAGGAACATTGACACCCACCCCCACCCCAGGAATCTGATTACAGTGGAGGAGCTGGGGAAAAGCAACAATAAATCAGTAGTTCAAAAATATAAACACTAGGAACAATTCTTAGAAGAATATTCAGGAAAACAGAAGCAATTAACAAGCAAGAGGCATGATATGGAATCATGGATGCTGATCAATGCAAAACAGTGGCCAAGTAGGAGATGATGTTGACACTGGGCTGATGAATGGCCTTTCCCCTGTTGATTTACTAGCTGCATAGTGGGTACAGGAGAGAGTGGATCCCTGGGCCTTCGACATTGATAGTTCTGAGATGCCTCTCTTTGACAGGTATGAGGATAATGTCTTTTTTTTTTTTTTTAACCCTGCATTAAGTGACAAGGTGATCTTTATTTATTTAGGCACTAGGGATTGAACCTGAGGGTGCTTAACCACTGAGCAATATCCCCAGCTCCTTTTTAATTTTTCCTTTCTTTTTTTTTTTTTTTTTTGTTAATTTTGAGACAGGGTCTCACTAGGTTACTTATATCTCACTAATCTGCTGAGGCTGGCTTTGAACCTGTGATCCTCCTGCTTCAGTCTCCTGAGCTGCTGAGATTATAGGTGTTGTGTCACCATGCCCAGTGGCAAGATGATCTTTTCTTTCTCTTTTACCTGAACTCTCCCTAGTTGCTGCTGCATCATTCCTTCCTCAACAAACTTTTAGGCTGAGCTGTGGAAGGTTTCAGCCAGGAGCTGACTTGCTCTCTGCTGGGGATGCCTTGGTATAATAGAGCAGAGAGGCCTGCTAATTTCAGAGCCAAGTTCACAAAAGCGGTTGGCTCTCAACTTGTTGTTCCAGAGAGCCAAGAGAGTAGAGCTGATGATGGCCCTGGCTGGTGGGAGCCAAAGCCAGGCACCTGTCAAACCCTGCTTTGCCCAGCTTCTCTCTGCCCTGCTCTGTTGATTGCCTGCTCTGAGAAAAGCAGTCCATGCCGCAGACTTTCTCCCTCCAAAGAAAGCCATCTGCCATCAATCCCTTAAATTTCTTCTCTGGCAAACATTTTGATCTCGAAGCAAGTTTATTTCTCTCTTTACAGAAGGGGGAAAAATGCCCCAAAGGGAAGACTGTGATATCTTTATTTTTTCCTGAAATGAGGATATTGAACACAACATACCCATTCTTGCTTTGGGAAAGAGGGGAGGCAGGTGGTTCTCAACTGTGTATGTGAGGGAAGAGAGGTAAATATGCATCTTGTTAGGTGAGTCTTGAGAAACTTGAACTCTATATTTGAATTAAAGATTTAGCTAACACAATGCTCCACAGGAAAGGACACTGAAAAACTAACCTTAAAGCTACCTTTATGAACTAAAATTACAGGACTGGGATGAAGAGGTTAAGGCTTTCCCTGCCTGGGGAATCTTTGCCACAGGCTTGGTCCTTTGGCTTACACATCTGTGCCAGCCGGGGAATCTTAAGTATTAAGTTCAGGTAGATTCTGTTCTGAACACACTTGGACCTTCTGCAAGCTTCTTCCCTTTGTAGGGTTTTGATGCAAATGAGAGGGCTAGACCTCACCTCCAAAATGCTACGATTTCAATGGATTTATCCATATTTACCAGGGTAATCATCCCTCACCTAAAACCTATGAATCAAGGAAACCTTTTTAAGTTACTTTCTGTCTTCCCACAGGAAACAAAAAGAACATGATTTTATAAAGAGGGCAGGGAATAGGTCTTGTTTTTACAAGACAGCCCTGAGATGACAGTAGCATACATGGCCGGCACATTCCTTCGCCATAACCACAAAGAGCCTGCATATATTTGTTGTTGTTGTTGTTAATTGCAAACTTTTCTAACAATCTGCCCTTTAGAAATGATTGCCCCTCTCTGAGGATCAGATCACAGTCCAGCCCATTCTCAGAGAAAATTAAATGAAGAATGCTGAGCCTGGAATCTATGATTAAGATGCCTGACTAAGTAAAGATGACCGCGTACTTTCTCAAATGGGTCAGCTATGGCCCTGGGTATCCAAAACAAGGTGACACGTGACTCACACTGGCTCAGCAGCCTCTCTCATGCGGGATTTACAGCTGGATTTAGGGCTAAATGTTGGAGGTAAATCGAAAGGAGCAGAAAGGGGCTGGGGAGGGAACCAGGAGGGAAGGGAATTTCCATCAAAGCTTTTCAGAAGCAGAAATCCATTCTACCTTTGTCGATGACTGTGGTTTGCTAGGATCAAGATCAAAGGAATCACCGTGGGCAGAGCCATGACAAATGCAAGGCTCAGTCTGGTGAAACCTAGCATTAGCCCCTCTCTTAGGCTGCGTCTAGACTGGAAGTGAGTGCTTGTGCCAGATGAGGCTGAGCATATAGTCAGGGTGCTCCTTCATGAGGAGGCAAAAGGGGTTTAAAACCCATATTGATTCCTGCAGGATAGGCCCCAGCCAGGGGCAGCAAGGCACAACACAGATATTGCTGTGATCATTTTGTGGGAAAATGAGGAAAAATGGATAACCACGGAGTCAAATAGAGACAAAGAACTATTTTTTTTGGTAAAATCCAACTTCCCTGACTCATGTGTTTTTTCCTCTTTCTCACGGATGCCTTCCAAAGCCTACTCTAAAACTTTACTAAAATGTGGTTTATTTGCAGGCCTAAGACATTCAGAGAAATTTGAAGTGACATCTACTAGTGGTTATTTATTTATTTATTTATTTATTTATTTTGTGGCCCCTGTAGTTCCTCAAAGCTTCAACTCATGTTCTCAGACAAACCAAGTAGCAGGTGAGGGATTATTCTGGAATCTTAATAGGTAACACCACCTTCCACATTGTCTGCTACACAATATGTTAGCATTAAGCACTGTTTAAGTCTGTATTTGCCTCTTGAGAATATCAAATAGAAAACAAAACAAAAAACACCAAGGGGGAAAAAGTATACTAGACACTTTTCAAGCATTTAGGTGCACACCTGATCTTCTTGTGTGGCATTTGCCTTGATTTAGTTTGGTGAACATGCGGGGGTGTTTTCAAAATATTCTAAGAGGGAAGTTAGAAGAATTGAGAGTCAGAGCAGATTTCAATGCTGCTTTTGGCACTAGCTTGCACCCTTCAAGACAAATCTCATTTTCCTTTTCTAGGAAATTATTTTAAATTAGAAGTGCTGGGAGGGTGGGCAAGGTAATGGTTTACTAACCCCCCAAGTGATGGTCACCAGACACAATGAATTTCAGCCTTGAAAAATAATGGCTATGGCTATAATGCAGAAAGGATCTTGATCTAGTGCTAAATAAAATGGCAAATACAAGATTGGGTACTAAGTTTACATCTTTGCAAAATGATGTATAAGGGAGAAAGACCACAAGGAAACATTGCAAATTAGAGTAAGGTTACAGTAGGATAATTTTTTTCATGTATTTTCATATTTTATATAATATTATTAACGATGTCATTTTTATAGACCTAAGTATAAATAAATAATTCTGTGAATTGAAAAAGAGAGATCCTCCCATTCTCCAGCCCCACAAAGACATTTGCCACTTACTGAAGTTTTGAACAAGTTCTCAACTCTGAATTTCAGTTTCCTTAACATTAAGAAGACTATAAAGATCTTATAAGTATTAAGAATTCACTTTGTGCAAGATATCCTAAGCATTTTCGCTTGTACTAACACATTTAATCCTCAGTATAATCCAAAAAGTGGGTCTTATTATTATTCACACTTTATATTAAGGAAACTGAGGCACAGAACCCTTAAACTAGATCATGTAACTGTGAGTTGAGAATCTAAAAGCAAATAAATAGAGACAGTCACATCCCATTGCATGACAGTGGAGTTAGACAACTTAAAGACATGGTTACACAACTGAATTTTATTTCCTGGGAAAGCCCCAGTTACAGAGCTGGCCCGTCATATATACCAGATCTACTTCTTCCTTGGATTAATTTGTTTTTAAGGCTGATGGTAAATCTATTAACTTATGAAGGTGAAGACTGAACAATTGGGTGCTAAGAATATCAAGGTAAATTCATCATTTAACTGCTTATTTCATTAGGGTTAGTTAACTGGGATTAGTGATCATAAAATTGGGGTTATCAAGGCGCTTTTGAGATGCACATGGCTAAATTTAGAAATGTATGTTTTTGTCTAAAGCAGTCATTTTGAACACGATTTGATGTTGCCTCATTTTCCTAATTATTTTCCTAAGCGCCTAGGACTCAAAGGAAACTCAAACACACCATCTTCAGAAAATTTTCTTTAATCTTTCTCTCTATCCATCAGGTTTTCCTCCTAGAACTTAGATGACAGAACTGGGAGGTGGCACTATACCTGGAAAGCTGAATCTACATAGTTATGATTCCTTTTCTTACAAAATATTTTATGTGAGCTAGTTGGTGTCCCTGGACTCTTTAGAGCTCCCTTCCATGGGTTGCCTAGGCCTGCTTTCTGCAGTAGACACTGTTTGCTTATAAGCCACATGTTGCCAAGATAACTCTTAACACGAAAAGGTTTAACTTCAGTGGAATTTGAAAATCTTTTTTTTTCCCCCTTCTGGTTTATCACCAGCATTTATGAAACCAGACCTAGTGAGAGAACTAAGTATGGGGACCCATGCATGATCTTGATATAGGGAAAATTTAGCCTCTCCGGATTATTACAAAATCAGAACAGTGAGGATATTCATAAGGAATCTGCAAATCTAAGGGATTAGGAATGAATTTTGGCTACTGATATTTTCTCACATGCTGGCTCACATAGAAGCTGAACACCCTCTACTGAATTGGGCATCTTTTGTGCATTTTTGTATGTATACCACTTTTAACAGTCCATGTGAACTGGGGCAAGTTATTTAACATCTGTGATCCTCTTAGCTCTCTGGAAATGGAGTGGATTCTGTCAGTTCAACACCAACCTTCTTCCCTGGGAAAATCCTAAAATAAGGTTTAATTATTCTTATTCAAATAGAAATATTGTTACTATTAGCTATTTTAAAACACTATGCTATAGCCAGGTGTGGCGGGGTGCACACCTGTAATCCCAGAGACTCCAGAGGCTGAGGCAGGAAGATTGCAAATTCTAGGCCATCCTTAGCAAATTAGCGAGATCTTGTCTCAAAATAAAAAAGGGCTGGGGATGTGGCTCAATTTTGGAGTAACCTTGAGTTTAATCCCTGTACCAAAAAAAAAAAAAAAAAAAAAAAAAAAGCAAGCAAGCAGGCAAGCTGTATTGTGCACCTGTCATTTAAAAAGGGAACCAGAAACTTGACAGTGATGTTTTGGAAGGTGGGGCTGGTTGTTCCCTAGAGTGTCTCTTGGGTACAAGTTCATAATGCCACAGTTCTGCTTCTGGTGCATCCCTCTATTCTCTTTGGCAGGTTTTATAGTGAAAAACAAGAATGTAGGTGATCAGTTATGTAAAACCTCATACTGGGATGCCACTCAGAAGTTAGGAAGAAGTAAACTCTAGCAAAGGGCCACAAGTGAAAACCATACCAAGTGTAAGTCTTGCTGAGTGGACACTATTCTATGAAGTTTCTCAGTGATTTGAAAAGCCCGCTTCCTCTTTCCTTCAGATTCGCTACCTTTAGGTTGACCTTCCCATACATTGTATGATCCCATTCATTTCTAAACGTCTAAAGCAAAGGCTGGCACCCTCTCAGGACCAGCTTGCTAAGTGGTTATTTATTCTCCGTAATTTAAGGCTTCCTTTGCCAGAAGTCAGAATCCTTCTCCTCCCTCAGAGCACTCTGAATGCAGATCCTCAATGTCAGCCTGGGGCGAGGGAAGGAAGGGAAAAAAAGGCTGGGGGAATATAATTGCTCATAGGTTTGTGAATAGTTTCCTGTGGAAGATTCTGACACCTGGAAAAGGTGTATTGATCTTCATGCCACTCTTCAGGGAAAATAGAAAGGGGAGGTTGGTGGTTTGGGAGCACCTCTGCCTTAAGAAATAGAAGAAGGGTAAAAAAACAAAAAGAAAAGAAAGCAGTTACTTGAGTGACAGACCTATAAGAAATGAAGCACTGGGAAAGAAAAGAAGATGCAGGACCTGTTTTTCTTTCTTTTTATACACCTTCTTTCTCTTCCCTTATCATCACTGTTCATTCAACATGTAACTATGCAGGTAAACAACCAGGGAACGAGAACATTTTTGAATAAACAAATGAACGAATGAATCATAAGTCAGTGTTTCCTAAATCCAGCTCATTTATACAATCATCTGGAAACACTTTTTATAATACAGATTCCTTAATGACCACCCTGGAGTTTTTGATTCTTTAGATCAAAAATGGAGTCCCAAAATCTACAGTTTCAAGTTGTTTCCTAAGTGATTCCCCTCATCAGCCAGGTTTGGAGACCCCAGACCTATAGTACAACTATCATCTAGGCTGTGTCTCTCATCATTCCTTGGAGATTGGGCCCTGCTTTCCCTTTATTTTGTAGATTGACATTAATTCCCTCCTTGATCAGACTAACCAATTGGCCTTTCTGCCATCTTTTTGTAGGAACATTTTGTAAGAATTTATATCTTATACTCTTTCAATTAAAATAATCAGTAGGCCCCTCATCCTGTTCTGTCTCAACTGCTGTGGAATTGCTGAATCACAAACAAACCAACAGGCCCCTTGCTTGGCTTGCTTATTCATTTTTGGTTAGAAAAGTGGATGCTTCTGAAATTTATTTATTTGTTTATTTATTTTTCTTGTACCAGGGATTGAACTCAGGGGCATTTAACCATTGAGCCACATCCCCAGCCAAAATGTTTTCTATTTTGAGACAGGGTCTTGCTAAGTTGCTTAGGGTCTTCCTGAGTTGCTAAGACTGCTCTAAAACTTGTGAACCTCCTGCCTCAGCCTCCTGAGCTGTTAGGATTACAGAAATGCACCTCCATGTCTGGCTTATGAATTTTTTTTTGAATTGCCAGAATGCATTTTCCTTTTCTTGTTTAGTCATTTACACTTATCCTACAAGTTTGTACTTAGCATCTCCAGCTTACTGGGAACTCTGGAGATACAGAGATGAAAGATGTCATCTTTTCCTTAAGGAATTCACAGACCAGTGGTAAGTTAGATAAAAAATGATTTTTTTCAGTTAGATATGATACAAATGAGTATAACTTAGGAAAGTTGGGGTGTTTATTGGATCAGGGGGAGGATAAGTTGATGAAACAAGTGTAACTCAAAACTTGGTTGATGAGGAAGGGCTCATATACCATGTCCATAGCCATAGTGATGACATTTGAAGAACTTTAGAGAACTAAAAGCAAAACTATGTGTGTGTTCCATGGAGAGAGGGGTAGGTGATGAGACTGGGGGTATAGACAAGGATTGTATTATGAAGGAAATTAAATGGCTTCCTAAAATTTTGGATTTTGGATTAAAGAATGGAAATCCCATCTAGGACTTGAGCATGAGATAGATACAAACAATAACAACCACAACATATGTTTGAAGAAATGTGCCTTCATGGTTGTGGGTGCAATCACCTGAATTTTTCCATAGCAGATGGAGTGCCAAGGACCTGTATGAAGTCATAGCCAGAAGATCTAGAGAGGGGACAAAAATAAAAAACTGCAGCAGGAGAAGGAATTGGTGATCCATCCTTGTACTTGTGTGTGACAGGCGCAGCTGTGATAAAGTTGAAGCACATTGGAATGATTCTTACACTTGAAACCTTGACCACCTAGCAAATGGTGGTGTGATTCATGGAAATAGCTGCTTGATTCATTTAATCCATGTTCCTGTGACATCCAAAGAAAAAGAAAATGCTGACAGCCTCCTAAGGTGAGGATCCAGATGGAAACACGTGAACAAGTGGCGTTTTTTTTTTTCCAAAGTTCTTATCAAGGTTGAAAAATCTTCTAAGCACACATGAAAGAAACAACAGGGCCAAGACTACTTTGAACTTACTGCACATGATTCCTTTCATATAAAATGTAATTGACAAACACTAATTAAGTCTCCCAGGTTCTCTTTGAAGTAATGTAGGAAATATGTACAGGTGGGTAAACTGAGGCCCCAGGAACTGGAAGGAGAGCCCGAGGATATATGAGGGCAGGTGCAGCATTTGACCCTCATATGAGGCCCCTGTTTCTCTGATGAGGCCAGACATTCGTGCTTGTTTCCAAGATGAGGTCTTCTATCAAGTTCTATGGACAAGGCAGAATGAGGGAGATGGGTAATTTACTCCAAAGGCCAATTTCTCTAACCTTGAACCTGGCAGCCTGAAGCCTCAGAACACACTCTGCATATTCTTAATTCAGATCTACCATCTGCTTCCTGAAATATTTATTCTCTATTGTATCTCTTCTCATGTTTGCTTTGTCCTCATAACTGGCTGGTGGTAGGAGAGACAAAAGGTGAGAACATGTGACTTAATGACTGAAAGAAGTAACTTGGGTCATTTTTGTCCCTGATTTTTGCCTTTTTAATATTTTTTATTTTTTTTCCCAGCTTGGATTCTTTGGTTTAGCATGCAGGGATGTTTATTACATAGCATGTGTGGGCGCATGGGGAGTTGAACTGTGATACAGGTCCCTCAGCAATTTTGGCCAAGTCCATGGGGCACTCTGAAAGTAAAATGGTCCTTCCCTGCTGTTCTCCGTTGGTTACTTCCACAGATCCATCACTGGGTCACCGGGCAGGGAAGGGCCTATGGAATCCATCCCTGAAGAAGCTGAGGCTGAAGGCTGCACACAGTATCCATTATGAAGAACATCTTCCATTCCTAAATTAGATGCATTCAGACAGAGATGGACCTTGATCAGTGGGATCTGCTGCTTAACTATTGATTCATCCTACTTGATCCATTAGTTATTCAATAAATATATATTTTGCAGCTACAATGCAGGAACTTTTCTTAGGTACTATAATAATGTGAGATAGACAAAAATCTCTTTGCTCAGGAAACTCTTAGTCAAATGAGGAAGATACAAAATAAATAGGAAAGCATAGAACACAAAATCAGTTAAAAATGAGTAAACGCTTGAGGCAATACATGAATCAGGTAGAGAGAAGATGAAAAGTAAATAAACACATACCCATATTTTTTTTTGAGAGGAATCAAAGATGGGAAGTACTTTATTCTCATCCAATAAGATAAGAAATTTTCCTAATAATCCAGCAAAATACACACGTAATTATCAATGTAGGAGGATAAAAGGTTAAGAAACATATTTGAAATTTAGAGAAAGCAATAAAATGTCATTTTCAGATTATAATCAACTTTCTTTCTGGAAAAGGGAGTGAAATACTTAAAAAAATAATTTTTCAGAGAAAAGAACATAATTTTAGAAAGGAAGATATGAAATTAGCTGGATCATAAATAATAAGCATTCTGTACAACACATCAGTACTATCAGGTAAATATATTTAATCCTCCTTTACTGAATCATTTTATTTTTATTTATTTTTTGAACCTTTCTGCTGTCTTTCTTGTTAGAGGATTTTTTTTCACAAAAATTTCTCAAATATAGGTTTGATTGCAAACATTCAGTTGCCCTACTGAGTTTGATAGACCCTTGAAAATTCTGTCTCAGTTAACATTTCCAAGGAATCCATTCAGAGGTGAGTGACATCTTAGACATTCTGCTCATTCGTGTGGCTAACCATTGGTTTTCTATTTCATTTACTACATTTTCCTTTTTCTCTCTGATTTAGCTCTCCGAAACCATTCTGGGAGTTTGCAT